AAAGCTGCTGCCTACTTTTGAGGCAGGAAAAAGATAAAGTTAATCCAGTAGAACTTTTTTGTCATGATCTGGCCTGTTTGCTCCTGCTTAATTGGTTATTCCTTTCACCTGCCGTTTTTCCTCCCTGCCTCAATTATAATTTATTCCTCTCACCTGTTTCCTCTGGTTTATATTCATTTCAGCCTGAGCATTCAGTGCCAGATCATTACTTGTCTTTCTGTTAGTCTGTCTGTTCACTTTTAGTTCATGGTTCATGTCCTGGATCCTGGAAAGAGGGCTTTAGTGTTTGTCTCGTCTCCTGATCATCCACTGTTCCTCCCCCGCGGAGTTCTCTGGGTTTTTGGCTCAATATGTGGGGAGGTTCAGTTTTTATAAAGTAAGCCTGGCTCCAGGGAGGAGACCAGTTTAAAGTCCTGCTTCAAGTTCCGGTTCAACGTCCTGTCTCGGCTACCCTCTTCCACTGAGCCTGCTCATCTGCACCTGATCCTGTCTGCTCCTATGGGTGACCGTCTGGTCATGCTTTAGAACTTTGTCAGACTCTGAACCTTTCCCGTAGCTCTGTTATAGCCTGGAAGCCTGGATCCTGCTACCTGTTCTGTCTGTTCCTGCCTGATCTGAATCCCTGATCAGGATCGGCTCTGGGGACACTCTGGGTGACGCGAGCCACGTCAGCTGTCAGCCCATCGGCTTGATTGCACCCCTCTCAAGGGGTATGGACTGATCTGCTAAACCAGAGTGTCTGAGATTGGGCGGTGCCCCGCTCCCCATCCTGCAGTGCCCGCGAGCACAGCCCCACTTTAGTTTGTTTTATTTAATACATTTTTTGAAATTTCCTACTGGCTGTCTCTCCTTGAATACCGGGTCTATCTGTCCGCGTTTCTTGACATTTTTATTGCCTACCTGGAATGGGTGACAATAGTTGAATAAACTTTTGGCTCTCAAAATGGTATCAGTTTCCTATTTGTTGGTATTCGCCGATACCAATACCACCATTTTAGTGCTGGATCTGGGCCCTGCCCGATACTGGTATCGGTGCAACAGTAGTTAAAAACAATCCTAATCAGAGAACATTCTAATGTGTTTAAATAGCTGTAGTTAGGTAGGATTTGATGTATGTACAGACGTCTGAAGGAAATGCAGAATCTGTTCCTGTAAAGCTGAGCTAGCATTGTTTAGCTAGGGTTAGCATGACAAGCTATAAATCCATAACGATTACTTGATAACTTCATTATAACTGTAACATAGAAAAGCAAATATTTTTGTTTTCCTTCAATGTTGCTGCAGAAACAGAGTTAATAAACTTGGTTTAAACCAAATATTCTAAACTATTTTTGTTGCATGAATTATATTCTCCAATGTAGGTCAAAACATAATAAAATGGAGTACTTTATGTAGTTAGTGGGTTGTTCAAAGAATCCTTTATGAGTCAGAGCTCTAACATTATATTACAAAGCATCAACACACAGAGCAGTAAAATGTGCTCTTTATTCTGTGGTGGTCTGTTTCAGCCGAAGCGCTCCGCAGCTCCGTGAGCGCACATATTGTTAGAGTGGACGAGCCCTTCGGGAATCAGCAATGTGACCCGACATTAACATAACCAAACCACCAAACTAAAGCTTTTCCCAACAGATGTTATGAGAGGAAATAAAAGAAAATGCAATGTGATTACTGCAGGTATCGAGGGACGTGGTAAAAATAAACGAATAAATCCTTTTTAGACAAATGGGTCAAAGAAGTCAGTTGGATCAGTGCAGTGAGAGAAAGTCCTGGTTCCTTCAAGAGTCAGTTTGTGGCAACTCTAATGCTTTTTGGCAATGAATAGTGTCCATTGATTCAACCACATCAAACTCACTTCCTCTTCAGAGCCCCCTGCATGCATTTTGAGTGTGCATGTGTGTGTGTGAGAGCGAAAGGAGGAATGTGTGTAAACATCCATAGCTTTGGTCAGAACAAAAGAAATCCATCTGGGATGAGAATTTATCCCACTCCCATGTCTTCTCTGACAGGCTTGAATAAACTGCCAACAGGAGAAGAATCTGGACTTATTTATCTGACACTGATCGAGAGTGATCGATTGCTTCAGGGCATTGCTTCACTTGCGCGGTGAGGAAGGTCACGTTTGCTCTGCCTGATGAAATAAAGACGGTGACACCGAGAACCTCCACACGAACAAACCCAGAACAAACAGCGGGGTTAACCTCAGACTTATGATGTCAAGTCAGAAATTTTGGCTGTAATCTTCTCTTTCCTGAGAACGCCTTGGAGCAAAAATGACACCGGTATCAGTGGCAGATCTGCTGGAGAGGAATGAAGCTGTAATGTCATTTATCTGCGGGCCTCTGTTAACGTTTGCTCTCAGGGAAGTACGAAATGGAGATAAAAGCCGGCCAATCGAGTGTCAGCGTGCCTACTGCCGCTCACGCTGATGACGTTCTGATAACAGCGATGGATGGGGGTGAGTACTAAGCCTTTAAACCTCAGTGGCTTTATTTATCTGAGACTCTTAATCAGCGAAGCTTGTAGATTTTAAACCAGAATCAATTCTTGGCTAACTGAATTGCATCCTTTTTTTTTCCTAAAAGTTGGTTATAAAATTAAGTATGACTCATTACTGTATAGAGAAGAGCCGAATTTCAAAGGCTCCTGCTGAAAGTCTTGTATGTGACAGTGTTCTTTATGAATGAGCAGACCATGACGGGTCCACAGGGAGCCATAAACTAGACTCATACAATGAAACGACCACCTCATGGGACTAATAATGTCTGTTCCAGACAGGGACTTTAATCAAACTAATTATCTACTCTCTTATTTTTTTTTTTTAGACACAACACACACCAATCATCCATAACTTTAAACATGGTGACAAGAGAACAATGTATTACTATGCAGAAGGTCAGTAAGTCCTATTTAGCTCTAAAAAAAATAGGTGTTGCAAAAATCCATACTCACAATTTTCACAATTAATGCTCCAGCACTAATGAGGTAAAATAAAGTTCCAGGAATTAAAGATGCCACATTTCCAGAAGCTAGAACCCATAGTTTCCAAATGGTCAAATTGAAATTTATCAATTTAAATGAAAATGTATGATAATTTCAATGTGTTTTTCTTTTCCTAAAGGCATCTCTGAATCAAAACTTTTCCCAGAAGTCACACACTCAAATTTTTTTAACCAACAACTTTAGAAAATTAATGAAAAATAACATATTTGTATATATAATAAAGGTATTATATAAAGCAAAATAATAAAAATAATAAAGTATTTTCTTTTATCTTTTATAAATATATAGATGTGTTCTTAAAATCCTGATATTTTGCCCCGCCCTTAAAGTGGTACACCTGGACAGAAAAGGTAGATCTACAGCCAATAAGTACTTTACTACAATCCTACCAATTCTGCAAGACATTTAATTCCTGTTTCTTACCATTTATTAATTTGTTTATTCTTTATCTGAATTGTTTCCTTTTATGAGCAAAAAGAACATTTGTGAAAATTGAGCCCCCCCATGTCTGAGAGCTGCTGGATTAACACCAAGCCTTCAATCTGCTGTAGCTTAGTAGGAAATAAGCTGGATCCAGCAGAAGGTCTCAGAACAAGTGGGTCCAGTGTTACCATCTGTACTTTTTCTCTTTTTGATGTAAGCATGGTGCATTTTTCTCTAAAATGGCTCCACCAGCAGATCTAAACAGGACCCAGAAGGAGCAAGAAGCACTTGCTTCAGCTGGTCTTTGCAACCCAAATAAAACACTGATCCATATTATCAAAACAAGCAGGGCAAATAAAGAATAATAATTAATAATAATGACAAGGACCGGCCCGTATTTTAAAAATCAAAAAACACCAACAAACTACCACCCCAGCTGATGGCATATTTGCATATACCTGATACATGCATCCATCACATTCAGCTACAAATAAATCAATTGTTTTAAGGCTGTGCAATAAATTATGATCAAAATATATTATAATCAGAAATTTCATCAGCATCAATAGAAAATAAATCAGATACATTTTCAATAATTCCACTGAACTCGGATGGAGAACCATAATATTCCAGGAGACATAGGCAGAGGAAAGGATATAGTCTCCTAGCCCTTCAGAGCCAAACTAAGCAAAGTTGGTTACCCGAACCCTATATTTAAATAAAGTAACGGTTAGGGTTAAATTTTAATTATGAATTTTCCCATTGCACTTATTAAAATAGGTAAACAAAACAGCAATTGTTTACTGTATATAGAAACGCAGCTAGTCTTAAATGTTCTGCAGTTTTACTTTAATCAGGTGTAGTCATTTAAATTATGTCTGCTTCTGCCTCCTTGAACCCAAGATGGCGGCTCACACTGAGCCTGGTTCTGCTGGAGGTTTCTTCCTATTAAAAGGGGGTTTTTCCTCTCCACTGTCGCTACAAGCATGCTTGTTGTGAGGGATTGCCTTCAAGTCAATGAGCCGAGGCAATCAACTAGTTTTCCTTCAATAGAAAACTTTGAATCAATTTAACTGGATGGTCTGGTAAATTGTGAAGTGCCTTGAGATGACATGTGTTGTGAATTGGCACTATATAAATAAACTGAATTGAACACTAATCAATAATTATCTATATCAACTGATACAAACAAGTTATATCATGATACATAACCAATAGAAACAGTCTGTTATCAGCCCACATATGTTACACAGAACAGGTGATGTAAGAACATCCTAATGGAGCACAGCAATCACCATCTGCCAGAAAACTAATAACTAACAATGCATATTACTGATTCAAGTGAGATATAAAAATAGTTTATAACATTTAAGAAGAGAGATCATTTTTTGCCAGACCAGAACTTGTTATGCAACAATTTTAATATCTAAAATGTCTGGGATTATGTTGAGATCTTCTCGTTGGACCAAACTGACCACAATTTAACTAATGGGTAAAAATTAAGGGAACCCTTAGAACAATCTTGGCATCAACAAAATGACAAAGCAAGCATATTTAGCTAAATGAAAACCCCTTACCTTAAAGTCACAAATGCACGTCACCATATTCCCAATTCTTAGGCACTCCCCATCAAACTTGCAGGTATTGGTGTCGCACAAGAACAGGTCCGTGTCCCGGTCATCAAAATCTGAAACAGAAAAAGTCAACAAGAAGTTAATCAGCGCAGATCCTACCTTGGATCTCCTTCACCCATTCACACACACTTACGGTGGCTAGCTACATTGTAGCCACAGCTGCCCTGGGGCTCACTGACAGAAGCGGGGCTGCCGTACACTGGCGCCACCGGGCCCTCTGACCACCATCAGTAGACAATGCAGGCGAAGTGTCTTGCCCAAGGACACAACGACAATGAAAGTCAAAGCCGGGGCTTGAACCGTCAACCCTTCGATTTCAGGGCAAACTCCAACATCCAACGCCACTGTCGCCCCTATATCAACCTACATCTAAAATATCTAATATCAGCCTGTTGATAAAAAAAACATTTAACTTCTCTCTGGTTCTCTTAAAAGGTTTTTGTAATCCATGGGTTAATAATAAATGGGTCAGTTCTAATACCTATTGTTTTCTTATGGTGCTTAAAAAGTTCAGCTGTTAGAGTTGAAGTTTTGTGGAAGAGGTTTTGCGTCTCATCCAAGAGGATTCCTCAGTTTTAACCGGTGGTAGTGAGCACTGAGATTAATATAATGTAGGTATAACAAATAATCAGTGGAAAACAAAAGTTGGCTCTGGTCCCTCCTACCAGAGTCCTGCAAAGGGTCAGCTACCCGCCGGCGGGTACAGCTATGGGTACAAAACCGAAAAAAAACAACATTATTTCATGGATGCAGGCTCGGATATAGAGGACAAAAATGTAGGCAAGTATAATACAAAGAGTTAGAGCTTGGATGAAACGCATTATTTATATTTTCTTGTTTATTAACTCTACGTCTTAATGAATAAATTGATTCAACAATTTTCATGACAGAATGTTTCTGAGTAACGAGGCAGACCTTTTAGTTCGGCTAATTTACAGCCGTTAATCTGTGAGCACAATGCGCTCTGGATGTCAGCGTGAGGCAATGTTCTTTACAGTCTCTGTTATTAAGATAGTATTTTGCTGCAGCTGGAAAAATAAAGCATGTTGTGTTTAAGCACTAAGCACTGGACACGGGTAAGGGTGGCTTTTTATTATTTACGAGTCCATGGGGTCCCGGGTTTTCAATGGGGATAATTGCAGGTAAGTGTTCAGGTCTTGGTTCTGATCTCTATGGGTGCGGGCAGATATTGGAGGACTCTGTTTTGTACTGGAGTGGCCATGGAGGTCACCTGAGGGGTGTTAATGGTCGTTAGGGGGTTCTGATGGGTTGTTAACTCCCTTGTCAGAGTGGTTTCGGTCACATGAAGTGCAAGTAACGTGAGGGCAAGTGAGCGGTGAATCTTTTAGGTATTGTTCCTATAAGTGCTCTGTAAGTAGGTGAAAGGTCATGTCTAAGAACACCTTCTCTGTTAAGAAATGTTGTTTTTTCCAGGTTAACAAAGATGGCTTCCTTAAAAGCTCTCTCAAAGCCTCTGTCTTCCTTGGCCAGAATATCGAAATTTCTCAAGGGCGTTAGCGGCCCATTGTACATTTTCTTTGTTTTTCCAATGTTGCTAGTCTCCTCCGCATTTTCACTTGCTACAGTTTGTGTCTGTGAAGAAATTATGATTAAAGAGAATTGGTGCTACAGTTTACCTGAACGAGATTTAGAAGTTTTTTAAACAGTGTCTGTGTTACTTTGCTGTGAACAAAGTAATACAAAGCATAGTTTGTTATGTGCCGTGACATTACCACCTGCACAGTTCTTCACAAGGACAAGTGATGTTAGTCATAAACGGACCAAGGAGCAAACAGGGTGTGCGGGTGGCGCTCATGGGAGTTTTAGCATTGAAGTGTCACAGTTCTATTCATTTAGTATTTCAGAGGCAATATAAGAAAAACTACAATAATAAATGTGTTTATAATTCAGCCTGCCTTGGTGGAGGGGCGAAGTGGTGCTGTTCCCCACCACTGCTTGCTTCATCCGCAAAAGGACACCTATGACAAGCCCTGCTGATCTCGTCCAGGGTCCAATATCAGTATCAGTCAATACTTAAAGCTGCAATATCAATATTGCATCGGAAATTAAAAAGGTATATCAGGACATTCCTGTATCAAACCTTTTATTAAACATGCTAACAGGTCATAACAAAAAAGCTATTGCTGACTATGCATGTTTAGCCCAAAGGTGCCAAAAATATGTTGAAAAATACTTTTTGAAGTAAAATTTCTTATAAAAATGTTTTTTTAAACACATTATAATGTTTATAATTGAGTTAAATACATACATTATAGTCCTGGCGCTAAGATGAATTAAATCAACAACTGTGGCCATAATTTCCTATGACTGGTAAAGCTTACTGATAATAGATATTCAGCATGAACTAATCCTGATAATCTAATCTAATCTAATCTAAAGGTCTGAAAATAAAATCAGTACTGAAAATTTAAATGTGCTTTTAAAACCTAATACTGTATTTGTACTTATGAATTGCATAATCCATTTAAACATTAACATATATGGATGTATTGTCTTGTTTTATTTAATTTAATTTCTTACAGCACATAATTAGATATTTATATACTAAGATCTGCTATTTAATTTGGCATTTTTTGTAGGTAAATAAACTGAAGTACATTTCTTTTCTTTTAGCTTTCCTTCAGTGATGTTGGATGCTAAAGAGGGCTGTCTCAGGTGGTTTCATATTATGCCCCAACAGGTCCCACACATCTTTAGCAGAACATGATGTATGTGAGCAACTGCATTATTTTTATGTATTTCTTCTTTAAGTTGAATGTTTGTTTGAGTGCGGGCGGGCGGACTCTCAGGGCATGGTGCTGGGACATGATCCAATTCAGGCTGTGTTATGAATCTCAAATGACATTCCGAATCAAATCACAGTCATATGAGCATGAGACACTCAGCTCAGGGCTATTTGTCTACCTGAAATGATTGCTTACAAGAAGCCACCCCTATGTACATGAATCCATTTGGAAAGTAAAATGGTTTACATTCAGACAAATTCCAGCTGACAGGAGATGGAAATGTCTTTGTTGAGGTAAAAGCAGAACATATTGGGACAGAAGCATGTCATTCACTTCTGAGATAAAACGGGAAAGAGGAAGGGTATTTTTAAAGCATCATCCATCTGATGCAGCCACTCTGTTTTGGGTTGTTGAGGCTGAAGGTACATACAGGTTGCTGGTCTATCACACAGCTAACACAGAGAGACAGACAACACAGCACACTTACACGGGCAATTTAGAGTCAGAGGCTAACCTACAATGTCTTCTGATTGCAGGAGAAAACCAGAACATACGCTTAACATTCACCCAATACACCAAAGTTAAAACACACAATTCTTTTCTTTTTAGCCATCGCACCAATGTGCAAAAAATTATACTTAAAATAATTTAAACAGGCTAGCCAAATAGCCAATACCCTTAAGGCTTCCATAGGAATCTGGTAACCTTTAAGACTTGTATGTTTCAAGGTTGGGTGGAGGTTTTTGAGGACCCAGATGCAGAGATGAGTAGGCAGAGATGAGCTTTGCTGATTTAATTCACGATTCACAGGCAACTGAGGCAAAAATCCAGGAAAATACAAAAATACTGAAAACTAGTGATGTTATGAGATGAGCTGCAACTTCAAGGCGTGTGTCTGTAATGGAAGGAGCGTTTCCACGAAGCGTGTGTCGAGGCTTCATTTATTTAGGGGAGGGGCCAAAATTGATGACGTCAAAAGCCTTGTTACCCTGATACCACGTGACCGCTTCAGGAAGTGGTTCAGAAAGCCCAAGAACTTCCGCAGGCATTTTAATAGCCTCAGTATTCAGTAAAGAGTTGCGTACAGTTGGATAGAGTTTTAATAGATTGGTTGGAAAAACAACATCTAGTTTGGTAAAAAGTGTTTTAGGTAGATTAAACAATGTAATGATCAAAATCTGAGCAAGCCGCAGGATACAGTTGTGACTTAAGTGTTAAGTAGTATTGTTGTCCAATTGACAATTACCATTATTAGTGGTGTCAGCTGTAAGGCATTGACTTCCATGAGGTTGGTGGTTCGAGACCTGCGTATATATTTAACAAGTATTTTGGCTAATGTGACTAATTTGTATTTTTTATCCCTAGTACCGGTAAAAATATAGATTGGGTAAAAACGCTGCCAAATTAGATTGATTTGTTTAGCCAAAAGGTTAAACTAAACTAATATTGGTTAAACACATAACTTCCACCCAGATTAAAACCAAAAACCATGGAAAAAACTATTATGTTTTAATAAAAATGACTCACCTTTTATATTGCTCAGCATTGTCCAATTTGTACATGAACTTTCACTGTCTGTGTCAGCTTATGTTACTAAAATTGCAGTAAAACTGTGTACCTTAACTGATTATTCTCTTCTAAGACATATTACACTAAAATAAAATGTACAAAAGATTTTCTTATACACACCAACCATTAACAATTTCAAAGGAACTTAAATGGGAAAAATAAAAAAAAATGCAAAAAAATCACAGATTTGATTACTAACTGTAGTTCTGTACTCCACCAGTTGGTGACATGTTCACATGGGGCTTCATGAAATATGAGGAAACAATTTGGCCAAACGGTTCAATGCTTCATGAGGTTTTCATCTCACCATAACTACCGAAAACTGAAAAATCCAATGAATGTCAG